AGAATTTTACCTGCCTGCTGTTCCACCTCCCCATAGTAGAGAGGCGGTCGTTGGTATGCAAATAAGAATTATTTCCCTCATATTTACTTTGCAGGCGAAGTGAAAGACACCCCAGGGAATGGTCGCTTCCGATAATTCATTTCCAAAGCAACGAGAAAATTTGAATATGAGTGTGAAAACCGCCACACGGGGGGTGCATCTTGCAGCCAAGACCGGTGTTGGGCGAGGTGATGTGGTTTATTGATGGTACGATGAGGTATTCGAGCTATTCTGGGTGGAGGGAATGTTAGGTAGACAAGGAAGCGTGGGACAAACATCTTAAATGCAGGGGAAACGGTTTAGAAAGCTGCACGACGACTAGAGCCAGAGTTTGTAGGAAGGCGGCAGGCCCTGTTAACGTCGGCTTGCTCGGTGCTGTACCGCTACACCACACCCGTTTCGGGATTTATGCATTTAATGAGGGACTGAATATAGGCACCTTGAAATATGACAAATTACTCAACTGTAAGAGTCTCATGAAGAATTACAGGAACAGTTCACACAGTAGCACTTCTTCTAGCAACCAGATGCGCACTTCTCGGGTCCGAATTCAGTCTACTAAGCAGAAGGTGACTGAAGATGAAATAGAACTCTGAAACGTAGTCGCAACAAAATCTTTTACGGCCTCAAGGAAATCGCCCCAGATTTTAAATAAAACGTTGTGATTCCTGGTTCGAATGCGACGTTAGAAAGCTACCTTCTACCTCAAGGGCCAAGTAGAAACAGATCTGGTTTCTCCCACGAACGAGATATTATCAGGACACCACAAAGGTGCTGCTAGATGAGTCTTTTGAAATGGCATGGTAATCGTCGACAAGACAACAGTTCCCAAGTCAGAAGTCGGGGAAGACACGTCAGATTGGACAACCTTTACTGCTGAGGAAGTGGGTACACGGGGCTCTGAAAGCAGTCGACGCAATCGGCCATTCCAGTCAAGTTGTTTCGTCTGTGCAATGATTTACCGTACTAACAACACAGGTATTAGCAAGAAGCCCAGACACGCGTGTTTCGCCGATCTCAGGCCGCTGCCTGACGCAGCTGCGAGGGGTTCGGCTCGTCAGTGGTTCCCCCAGCTTTCCATGTGTGTTTTCTGGTATATGAACTCCAGTTACAACTTGCCTTGTTTAATTTCCGAGGCACGGTCCAAAGGCCCGTTTCGAAAGATTTACTCCAAGTTCGCGCATTTATTTCCTCGGAAATTAAATAAGGCAAGTTGAAACTGGAGTTCATATGCCAGAAAACACACGGGGAGAGCTGGGGGACCCACTGACGAGCCGAACCCCTCGCAGCTGCGTCAGGCAGCGGCATAAGATCGGCAAAACACGCGTGTCTGGGCTTTTAGCTGATACCTGTGTTGTTATTACGATAAATCATTGCACAGTTCTATACTACTGGCTGCCTGTTGGCGGTTTGTGAATATTAAGCGGTTATTCCGCAGTAGCTGATGGATTTCAGCTCAAATATTCATATCAAACCTTGGACCGTGCCTGAAGAGGCCCGTTTCGATAGATTTACTTCAAGTTGCCGCATTAATTTCCTCGGAAATCAAACAAGGCTTGTTTTGTCTGTGTTTGCCGATGAGGTTAGTAGCCCCCAGCGCGTGTGTGCGCTTTTCGCTCTGTCCCAGTTAGCGTCTGCCGGCCAATCAGAGAAGAGTCAGCGTTGATTGGCCTCGGGCTCTCGCGAGGCAAGTGACAAGCCACGCGCGGTTCCAGCAGCAAATCTACGAGGAGCGTGAGGCGGACAGAAGGTCAGATAGAGGAAGTGGCGCAGAACAAGGAGGCGCGTACTGCCACAAGTCTTCTTGGAATTCGGACGAGTCCTAGGGTGAAGAGATGCTTCTTCCAAAAAAGTGTGTAAATATTTAACCGTTAGTATCAACTGCAAGAGGATTTTTGCAGGATCCAGCAGTTTAAACATTACTCGACGATTTCCCGCCTATCAGTACACACAACATGACGCCAGTAATCTCTACCAGTATTCAGACAATCACGCAGGTCGGATTTAGCCTCGAAAGAAGGATTTTCGTGAGTCACACGAGTGCGGAAGAGGACTCTGGTAATATCGTGTCAGCGAGATGTCCTTAGTCTCGCAGGGGTTTCGTAAACAAGATATCGCTTCCTGACCTGGTAGCTAGTTTACTCTGCATACTGCTGGACATAGCCAATTTTGACATTACCGAAAAGAAAGCTTAGTCAAACAAAGAGCCCGTCAGTGTGAGGGTATGGTACAGTGAGTGACCGATCTCATGAAATGTTAGCCGCAATTCCGAAATGCGTTCCCGATTAAGAAGGCGTACTTAGGTGGAGTTCTAATACATATTATTTTGCGGCATAATCCAATAATATTTCGGACTCGGCAGGATGTCTGCCTTTGAATACGCTTCTTGTCAATCTTCTGTAGACGGTTAAAAAGTGACTACTCAAGCAGCATGCACTTTTCCATTCATTTTCGATGGTCATTCAAATTAAAATACATTTTGTAGAAAACATGAACCAAAATATGCTTTCTTTCACTCGTTTGATAGAGAATTACGTCGTCATTATTTTTTATACTCGGAGGAAGAGTATAATTCGGTTTCAAAAAGTTTATAACTGTGCGATTTTTAAGACCTTGAAATGACCATTCATATGGCATCGAAACTCTACGTTTACCACTGCTCCTCATGAAATTTTAACATAGTCCGCATCCATTGGAAAATTTTATGAACTCTATATGGCATCTTTTTAAAGGCATAGAAGAATATATTATTTTCCTTACGCGGAACGCATGTACCTTGCAGACTGAAATAACTAAGCGCTAATGCAATGGCTAATCAAGGTCCTAATTATACTCTTTCTTCGAGTATAAAAAAATAAAGACGACGTACTTCTCTATCAAACGAGTGAAAGCAAGCGTATTTTGGTTCAGGGTTTCTACAAAATATATTTGAATTTACAGGACCGTCGAAAACCAATGTAAAAAACGCATGCTACTTAAGCGGTCATTCTTTTCACCGAGTAGGGTTTCTACAGAAGATCGAAAAGAAGTGTATTCAAAAGCAGACATCCTGCCGAGTCCGAAATATTATTGGATTATGACGCAAGATAATATGCATTAGAACCCCACTTAAGTAGTTCTTCCTAATTGGAAACGCATTTTGGAATTTCGGCTAACATCTCATGGGATCGGTCACTCAGTGTATGTAACCTCCTGGGCAGTTGTTCAAAAGCCTGCCTGCATATCCTTTCGAGGTGGGTGTGGTTTCTAGCGGTTCGCCTGGCATCAGGCCGCGAGGGGGCCTATGCGATGCGCGGTTTCTGACCTTTTCGGCCACTTGGTAAATGTTAATAAATTTTACAGAAAAAATGGACGAAAGCATGGTTTTACCTACTTGTTTAGTAGAAAATCACGTCGTCTTCACATCACATACTCGAGAAAAGGACATATTTATGTTTTGGAAAATTTTTCTGATTCCAAAATAATTTTGAGCCAAGTCAGCCGTTGAAGTAGCGTTTAGCGATTTCATTCTACATGGTGTATATCATCCGCGTATGGAAAATCATATACATATGCATCTGTGCCTTCAAGAAGATGCCATGTAGAAATCGCAAAATTTTGCACTAGATGCGGACTATACTGAATGCTTTATAAGAGGAACTAATAAACGCGCAGGTACGATGTTGAACGAATGGACATTGCACGGTCTTAAAAATCTCATAATTAAAGACTTTTTTAAAACCAAAATGTACTCTTTTTTCGGGCATAAAATGCGAAGACAACGTAATCTCCCACCAAATGAGTACAAGGAAGGATACGTTTATGCATGTTTTCTACAAGATCCTTTTAAATTTATAAGGCCACTGAAAATTAATATGAAAAATACATGCTACACAAGTAGCCGTTTTCTACCAGAAGGTTCTTACAGGAGGTCGGAAGGAATTGCATTCAAAAGCCAACATATTGGCGAGTCCGAAATATCATAGGATTAAACAGCACGATAATCAATATTACACCCCCAAGGAAATCCTTCCTAATCGGAAAGACTTTTCAGAATTTCGGCTTTCATCTCACCAGACCGGTCAGTGACTATACTTCTCGTAGCATTATAATGCAAAAATATCAGTGATATAGCCAAAGGCTAGTCAGCCCCCGGCGCTTAAAGACCCTACGATGCAGTGAGGGTCGTGTTCCTTAATCATCAGAGGACCATCTCGAGGGTGTGTTGCCTGTGTGAGTTACTTTCCACTATATGTGAGTTCAGTTTAACCTTCTACTGGCGGAGACAAACCATACTTCGGTATAGGAAATGGTGAGGTTTGATCCTGCAGCCTCACTAGATTGGTACCATATGGTTAGCTAACTAGAACAGTTTTAGTTTGTGCGACTACGCTGACTTTACATACAGTGGATGTGCTAATTCATGAAATGTCAATCAAAATTTCGAAATGCGTTCTCGTTTCGAAAAGATAAATTAAGTAGTGTTGTAAAACTAATCATGATGCAGCAAAAATCAACAATGATCCAGTTACCTCAGGGTGTCGGCTTTCGAAAGAACTTATTTTCGGCTGCATGCAAGATCTATACTCTGCAAAAACGACTACATAGGTAGTATGCAATTTTCTCATTGATTTTCGATACCCTTGAAAATTCAATTATATTTCATGGAAAACATACATAAAAATAAAAGGAGAAGGCTCGTCGGAAAATCGAGGTATACTCGTGAATTTTCAAGTCGGTTACACCAACCCGTCGTCAGACGAAAATGAAAAGTGTGAGGGAGATAATCCTACTGGGGAGTCAGGGGGACATCGAGGTTACATCGACAAGACAGGCGTTTATGTGTGGGGGTGAAGAACGTGTTTGGATAGGTGGCGGACGTTAGGGGTGGTGTTGGGGGTTTCACGCATGGTTCACTCTGTGGGGGAGGTGCTGAATCCATGATAATCTACATGGCCGAACATGGATTAGCAGTTGGTGGCTTAGGGTGGGCGCAAGCCGGCGAACCGTGAACGTAAGCCTTCGTATTGAGCGTCCAAGTCGATATGGCGGTTGATGCTATTGCTATTAGAGTGCCAAGCTTCTAGAAACTCTCGCGCTTGTTTGGTGTTGGCACTTGCGATCACTTCGGTCCCCTCCCAGTTGAAGCGGTGATCACACTCAAGGGAGTGCGCAAACACGAGAGACAAGGGGTCCCGTCGGCGGATGGCCAACTTATGTTCGTTAATGCGGGTCCCAAGTCGTCGGCCGGTATGCCCAACATAAACGCTAGAGCAGTTTGAACATGGAATGCGGTAAATGACATTTGTTTGCTGCTCCTTCGGTATGGGGTCTTTTACCCGGGATAATGTCGTGCGCAATGAAGACGCCGGTTTGTGGGCGATGGAGATGCCGAATTGATTTAGTTGTCGAGCGATCGCTTCGGAAATTCTCGGCATGTAGGGCAGGGAATAGAATTTCCGTGATACCCTGTCTCCATTAGAGTCGACGTTTTGTGGTTGTTGCTGACGTCTGAGACAATTTTTCACAAAGCTAGCCGGGTATCCGTTGAGTCGGAAAAAGCGATACAAGTAGGCCAGTTCATCTTTGAGTAAATCGGCGCTACTGCAGTAACGATAGGCCCTGAGGAAAAGGGTCCGAACACAGCTTCTTTTATGGGCTGCTGGGTGGTTACTCTGATAGCTCAGGATGATCTCAGCGTCAGAGTTTTTCCGATGAACGCTTGTTGCGATGCCGCCGTCACTGAGCTTTTGTATGCTCACGTCTAGGAACGGGAGGGTGCCTCCTTTTGCATCTTCACGAGTGAATTGTAGTGCTGGGAAGGCGCCATTCAAGCTCTGGTGAAATCGCTCAACTTCACAGGTCTTAACGATGACAAATGTGTCATCTACGTATCTGAGCAACGTTTTTGGTTGGAAACTTTGCACAACATCTTGTTCTAGTCGTTGTAAGACTATTTCTGCAAGTAGCCCCGAAACTGGCGAACCCATTGGGGTGCCCTTAACCTGCTGGTAGTATTTGCCATCGAATTGGCAATAGTTATTGAGGCAGAGCTTAAGCAATTCTAGAACGTGATGTGTTGGAAGGTCGATGGGACTGTCTCGTAAGCGTTGGGCCACGCTCTCAATGGCAAGGTCATGTGGTATTGAGGAAAACAATGCGACAACATCAAATGATAGAATACTTTCATCAGGACTTACTTTAAGACCTTCAATCCTTTGAAGGAATGCCTGAGAATTTGTGATGCTGTATTGTGATCCAACAGCGAGGCGCTTCAGATGCCTGTAAAGCCATTTGGCTAGGTTGTAAGTGGGCGACCCGATGAGTGGCACTATTATCCTCAATGGTGCATCTGGTTTGTGCACTTTTGGAAGGCCATATGCATGCGCGATACGGGGGTCAGTGAGAGTCATGCATTTAGAGTCATTTGGGTTAATCAGCTTCAGTCGAGCGAGTTCATTCACCTTCTTCTTTATAACCGCGGCCTGCTTCTTCGTCGGGTCCTCAGCGAGTGGTGCGTAAGCTTCCCTGTCATTAAAGATAGTGTTTGCTTTTCGAACGTAATCAACCTTGTCCATGATGACAGTTGCGCCTCCTTTGTCAGCAGGTACAACCACGATACTGTCATCAGTCTTCAGAGATCGCAACCCGTTTTCTTCATCGACGGTCAAGTTACGGTGACGTTTTCTTTGTCGAAGAAGACCACTGGCACAACTGCGTATGTCCGCACGCACGTCTTCAGGGATAGCATTTTCATTTTCGTCTGACGACGGGTTGGTGTAACCGACTTGAAAATTCACGAGTATACCTCGATTTTCCGACGAGCCTTCTCCTTTTATTATATCGCCTCGGAATGCACACTACCTCCAATTTTCATACATAAAAATATTTATTCTTTTATTTATTCGGTAGAAAAGCACGTCTTCTTCCAATTTCATACTCAAAAGCAGAGTATAATTCGATTTCAAAAACGTTTCTAATGGTGAGATTTTTTAATACCGTTAAATGGCCGTTCACGAAACGTCATATATTTGCATTTACGAATGTGGCTTGTAAAGTTAACAATATTGCTCAAATCCACTGCTTAATTTTAGGAACCTCATATGGTCTCCTCTTAACGCCGTAGAGAAATGCATGGTTTTCCGTACACGGAAAATATACAGCTTGTAGTTTTGAAACCCTGAATGCAAGTGTAACAGCAGGTCGGGTTCAAAATTATTCGGGAATTAGAAAAGTTTTTTAAAACCGAATTATACTCTGCTTTTGAGTATGAAATTGGAAGAAGACGTGATTTTCTACCGAATAAGTAAAAGAATGAATATTTTTATGCATGTTTTCCATGAAATATAGTTGAATTTTCAAGGGCATCGAAAATCAATGAGAAAATTGCATGGTAATTAAGTAGTCATTTTTTGCAGAGTATAGATCTTGCATGCAGCCGAAAATAAGTTCTTTCGAAAGCCGACACCCTGAGATAACTGGACCATTATAGATTTATGCTGCATCATGATTAGTTTTACAACACTACTTAATTCATCTTCTCGAAACGAGAACGCATTTCGAAATTTTGGTTGACATTTCATGGGTTAGCACATCTACTGTATATCACGTGTTTTCGGCTTCCTTTCTATTTAAATCCAGCAGGAACTTGGCCTGGGGAGGGGGGAGTGCTCATACGCCAGCCTCGGTTACATGAGGTATCAGGTCGCACGCGCTTTCCTGTGCGTGTTTCGAGCCATGCTTGCGCCCTCTTTATTAGCTCAGTCCAGCGAGTAGCTAAGTAGACTTGCTAATGGAGTTGTTCGGACGGTGTGGATCTCCACCGGTCCCATTATATTGGACGCGCACTACAAACTAACACGCGGTTCCCTCTGTGGCCTTCCAGTTAAGTTTGCGCCCACCTCATCTTCTTAATCCAGTGAGCGGCTATGTCGCGTGAAGTGTGTGTACACGCCACCTACGGTCACACCAAGCATCGGTTCACACGAGCTTCCCTTAGTGTGTTTGGAACTCTGCTTGCGCTCTCTCCCAGCGAGTTGCTAAGTCGGGTATACTTGATGCGTGAGATTACCAGGGCAATTGCGGATTGATCACGTGATCTAACTGCTTGCACAGGTCTGGTTTCTCCCTCCGTATGTAAGCTGTTTCCAAATAACTCAAGGTTCGAGTTGTATGCGCTCGGACAAGTACTCGAAAAGATGCTTTAGGGTCGACACCATGGCCGCTATCTAACAGGTGTTATGTTATAGACGAACGGGGGGTTTTGTTTTCCTGTTTGAAAAGCCAATTAGGCAAATGCTCAGCGGGCTTCTTCGGAACGGACTGTTCCGTCAACTTTGGCCGTAAATGCTTGCTGTACTTCTGAATGAAGCGTGCGGGATAACCACGATTAAGAAAGGCGCTTCGTTCTTCCACAAGATTACGTGGAAAGGGCAATACTTACATTTTAAAAGCTTTGTGTCAATGAAATGGAAACTTAATCTAGTATAGACTCTTTTTCAAAGAGCGAGAAATACTAGCTCAAGGGAGACCATAGATACAGAAACTGCCCGAATCAAAGAAGCCTTACTAAATCGTGGTTATCCTGCACGCTTCATTCAGAAGTACAGTAAGCATTTACGGCCAAAGTTGACGGAGCAGTCTGTTCCGAAGAAACCCGTTATAATATGTATACATTTTAAGGGTAACGACGTGTCAAACACAATCAAGCGACGCTTGCGTTTCACTATAGAAAGAACGCACAACGCAGCAGAGCTTATCTTCATCAGTTTCACAAAAAGCCTTCCAATTAACCGGGCAAAGGATGCCTTGTAATGCACGCCACCCCAAATTTTGTGTATGAATTCACATGCACTTGCGGATGCAAGTTCATTGGGCGAACACAAAGGCAACTGGCAACCAGGGTCGCTGAGCATTTGCCTAATTGGCTTTTCAAACAGGAAAACAAAACCCCCGTTCGTCTATAAAGAAACACCTGTTAGATAGCGGTCATGTTGTCGACCCTAAAGCATCTTTTCGAGTACTTGTCCGAGCGCATATAACTCGGACCTTGCGTTATTAGGAAGCAGCTTACATACTGAGGAAGAAACCAGATAAGTCAGGTATGTTAACTAAAGCTGTTTTGCTAAGCTAACAGCCTGGTATCAGTCAAGTGGGGCCGCAGGACCAAACCTCGACTAGGGAATTACCATTCTGATCAGTGAAACGGGCAGTAAAGTAGATTCTTAGATGAAGAATCGTCTCCTAACTCCGTCAACAACCCCCCCCCCCCTTTAGACAGTGTGCGTTTAGTTGCGCTAATGCAGCTCACATGCTATGCCATTTCGAGGCAGTCCTCCTACAGGAAGTTACGCCTGATCATGCCACGCAGTTTAAGCCAGCACGAAAAGTCGCTGCACGACTCGAAACCCTTACCGAGTAAGAGGACGACGGAAGTTCTGCCTGCGCTTGCCAATTTGAATTCTGGTCACAAGTGCACGTGTTCTTACGAGGGCGAAGACACTTGGCCCGCCTGGCAAGCCGCAAAACAACGCGCACGAAGGTTCCCAGGTCGGATCTTATTTCGTAGTCGCACCTGCAGTAGACAAGTCCCAGCCGCCTGTCATACAGGACCGGTGCTAATAGGGGATTGGCAACGGTATAGAGAAGGACCCCACTTAACTGTCAGTAGACTGTGGAGCGTGCCATACGTGATTTATGATAAAGGGAGTTGTATGGATGGGGCAGCACGCTAGATAGTAAGCTGACAAAATGAAAGAAAACACAGAATTTGCCTGGATTTATGCCGAAAGTCTTATCCTACGCTATTGTGCGACAGTTGAAATGAGAGTAGTAATTAAACAATAAACGAGAAGTAAATTTCACAAAATAACGGATCTTGAGTTAAGGTGTGGGATCGTGGGAAGTAATCGTTGTTGGTAGTGTAATTTTTGCAATAGCCTGCCAATGTTTGCCAAGATAAAACCCCACGTGACACGATCCACAGTCTACTGACATCTAAGTAGAGTCCTTCACTATACCGTTGCCGGGGGTTTAATACTAACCTCTTACCCCAACTCCTAACGTTGACTCCTCACCCCGACCTCCAACCCCTAACAGGCGCGGCTACGAAAAAAGATTTTACCGGTTCCTGTTTTGGCTAGTTCTTGCTAGACCACTGACGACTCACCGGCCTGAAACAAGCCTCATTCATGCGTGAACACCTCGAATACTCCGCTGTGCTGAGGTAGCCTCTATACAGTCAGTCACCACCGACCTGTGCAATCAGATAGCCTGTCGGGGCGCGAGGATTGACAGTAAGGTTTCCAAAGCTAGGTGGACAAAGTAGGGGAATCCTTTGTTGTGGTAGGGGACGCCCACCGATCGTTCTTACGGAACTCATTCGTTCCGTTGTGCCTTACGGGCTCTCTCTCGAGCCCGACCAACAGCGGCGCATGATATAGGCAGTATGTTATTACCGACAAAGACAAGGGAGACTGGAATGGCCATTTCTGGCTTATTAGACGTCGTCAGCCAGTGATACCCAACCCCGAAGTGTGGAACACCTGAGGCTCGAACTCGCGACCTGTTAGTTCGAAGTCCACGCCTCTAACCACTGGGCCATGAGTTTTTAAGACCGTGAAATGTCCATTCAAATAGCGCCGTGTCTGTCGGTTTAGCTAAGCTCCTCCACATCCGTTGAAACATCTTATGTGCCCTTTATGATGTCTTCTTAATGGCTTAAAGAAATGTACGTTTTATCTTACACGGAAAATATAAAACTTGTAGACTGGAAACCCTGAACGCAAATATAACGGCAGGTTAAGCTCAAAATTATTCGGAATTGAAAAACTTTCAAGACCTTTCCTCTAGTATGCCCTTTGAAAAGTACATGATTTGCTGCTACGGGAATAATATGCATTTTTTAACAGGGAATATATTAACATTTTCATGGGCATCGAAAACCAATAAAAATGCATATTTTTTAAGTAGTCATTTTTATTGGGTACGATTTATTCAGGCCGCAGGAATGAAGTGCATTCAAAAACCAACATCCGAGTGTGTCTGAAATATCACGTAACTAGGCCACTTGATAATAAAGTTACAATCCCACTTAAGCAATCCCTTCTACTCGAAGGCACATTTAAGAATTTCGGTTAGAATTTCGTGTGGTCGGTCACAGACGGTAAGTAATTTCTTACTTTAGAACCTGTCATATGTCTCGTGTGAAGCAACTTAAAATACCCCCCCCCCCTGAAATTGAAGAACTCCGTAACACCGTCAAACGGGGCCCACCTGGCAGAGACGCCTGTTTTCGCCGAAGGTGGTCTGTTTAAAACAACTGTTACGTCGGCAACTTCGATGAGTCCTTAATACAATGCTACCACGGTCTTACAAGACACAAAATCTACAGTGAGGGAAGTATGTGAGTATGGTAAGCAGTCTGAAAGACCTGAAAGACAAGGGAACAGAAACGAGACTTGTTATTTGCATACCACGACGCCAGTAGCTGCGTAAACAGCTGCAACAACCGGGCGCGAGACTGCGATGACTCAACAGGCTTAGACTTGTTGTGTTCATCTGACAAGTTTCGGCGTGT